ACAAATACAAATTAAACAATTTCATATTTCTTGAACAAATTTGCTTTGATTTTTTTAAAGGAACTAATTGATCCAATGCTTTTATAATCATTTTCCAGATTATTCTATAGTCTTTTACAGCAGCCAGCTCACTTTGTCATACCAGGAAAGCTGAAAAGACCTGTTATTTCCCCACCTTTTGCACCTAATTAATCTGAGTTGATCAGCCCTGCTGTTTAACTCTAATTTTTTCTCTGTAAACAAGACTATAATGGCTTCAGCAAAATCCGGTCCACAACATTCAAACTGCTATTATGTGCAGCTTGTTACTGGCGCGAGGTTAGTGTGAAGTGTGACCGTCTGTGAGTGTTTTATGACGGTGAAGGGAGCAGCACTCGCTGGACAGAAGAAGTCAGAAAGAGTGATAGAAGTCCGTCTCCAAACATAAGCAGCTACAGAAATAACACCAGAAATAGAAGCTCGATTTGTTTATAGTCGTTTTTAACAAAGAAAATGCTGCTAAAAGGATTAATAAAGTCTCCGCTTCAACTCAGAACAGAAACTAAACTACAAACGGCTCCCATGCACATTTATACCAAAAAGATCTCTGATTCGTTCATTTCACTGTCAATCAAAAAGGGATTCAGCCTCTGACAGATCATCCAATCATCATGCAGAAGCTGAGCGTCTGAGCCAGCCCCCTGCCTCATAGACCCCCAGAGACGCTCAGCGTCCGATGGGCGGGACAAAGCCCAGCATTTATCCAATGACTCGTCTCGTTTCGCTGCAATCTTTGCATCACTAATGAGCTCTGTGGACGCTCAGCGTCCGACTGTTTAAAGCACTGTGAAGCTGAGGGAATGAGTGAAATGAGGAAATGAGGAAAGCCGTGCAGTTACCAGTGATAAAAAGCTGATTCTGAACAAAAGTTGAGCGCGTTGTAGTGCATATTTAGTCAATAACATGAACGCACAACAGTATATATTTTATCTTTTTTTTTACATTTTCGGGGAAGCTGAGCTTCCCTTGCAGTCTTAGAGAAATCGCCTCTGTTTGTTACCCATTTTAAACTTTAAAGTTATTCTGCTGTAATTTTCTTGTCTGCACTGTGATACTTTACAGTTATTAGTCTGTTATTATTGTTTTGCACTGAAAACAGGCTAATTCTAATTTCTAATGTTAAATTCTGATATGTAACTACAGTCTATAATACAAGGCATGTCTTTTTTGTTCTTTCATTATCTTTTATATTATATTATATTATATT